TCATTTTGAGCATATTTTTTTTGTATACAAACACGCTCAAATATTTCATCCAAGTCTCTGATTTTAAACCCAAACTGATTCAAAATTGAATCCATCCATGTGGATCGTTTAGCAAGCAAGAATACCAAATCCAGACCGACAAAGAATCGAACCCGGGTGGTTCATTCAAACCGGTGCAAGCAGAGTTGTCAAATCCAATGTGAACTATAGGATCAATTTGTTGAGTGGATGTAACTTGAAAACCCTCATTGAACTAAATTACAAATTCAATCTCAATGATATTCTGTTTGATAAATCAAGATCAGACCCGTTAAATGGCTCGAATTAGTCCACGAGGTGTACATAGTATGTCTATAAATTAACATCATCAATCACATCATAATTCAGAACAAAACAAATATAGAAAGTACGTAAACATGAGCAAAACCATGTCGAAGTCCGCAGTGACATTTATGCAGTCTCAATTACAGACAGAGGTCTCAGTCGAAATAATCCAATACACCACAACTTCCAATTTTCCCAGCGAATATAGAGAAGAATCTCAAAATATTACAAACATGCCCCTGATGCCTTCTAAACAGGTCCAACTTGAGATCATAACAGTAAAAATACAATGCATTCATTTACAAGTTACAACTGGTGTCAAACTAGACACTACATCAACGAAAAAAAATTCCTTCCAAGCAAATCCTAACAAAGGATATATTTAGCTTTGGGTACCTTTTCGCAGCTAAGGAGATTTGTTTACCAGCCAACAGCAAAAATCTACAGTCTCTGCTTCACGCGTCTGCCATTTGCATCACCTCCATCCATTACTCCTTCAATTCCTTGCTTGCCGACAATCGAGTGCTCGTTGATCCTAGCAACGTACTCTAATAACTCGGTCAGCACATGCGGGCAGCTTTCTTTCAGGTACTCGAAACCATCCGTTTGCATAACAGCTGTCCAAAATTCATTTCATAGGCTCGGTAAAAAATAAGTTCATATAAACTAAAACTAGTCATTTTAATCTTGTTTGAGGGGTAAGAAATGGGAACATATTACAAAAAGTACCATTAAGGTATGAGATAATTGCATAAATTTCATATAACTTCCAAATTACAGAATACCACGAACTGCTGCATTCAGTGTTAACTTGGATATAGATATATTGAGTTTTGATTTGAAAAGGTTGGTTTGGTTAGTTTTTAGTAAGATTTTGAGTTTGTATTAAAATAATATTTAAAATAAAATAATTAAAGTTTATTTGATGTAAAAGTAGGAGAGAGTTGATTGGAAGTGATGGATAATTAAAATTATGTGCGTGGATGAATAGTGAATTAAAGTTTATGTGAGGTGTTAGCATGATTGAGTAGTACTATTTAATTATATTATAATCTTGAAGATAGTGGAGTCGAGTTAAGGTTGAGTTAAATTTTGAAATTAAATTGGATTGGATATATCTATATCTAATCACACTCTTATAGAGACCTAGGCGTAGTTTTTGCGATTTTGAAAGCTGGAAGGGTTTTTCTACAATAAGGTCAAACCTCAAGAATAACTTGGGCATTCAACTATAGAAAAGATGCAGTAGCATCCCAAACCCCACAAACCAAAAATTAAATTTTATAAACAGAATCACAATGCTAAAAGCAAAACTCAAAAGATTTTACCTCTGAGATTTTCGGGAAGGGCAACAAACTTGAGACAGACAGATTTCAGCTGGAAACAATGGTGCTGTTCTGCAAGTGCTAGTGTTGTTGCAACAGTATTGATGGCAACTTCTTCACAAAGGTTAGCCTCACACAGTAATCTGAGCCTATCTAAACCATATCGATCAGCTGCGGCAAGTAGATGCTGTGACACTAGGGTGGAGGCCCACTTTGAATTCATTCCAGTAAGTTCCTCAAAATCGGGTAGAGCATCCCAGTAAATAAAATGAAGTAAAGCCTGCAAAGTGCCAACCAGGAAAAAAAAAATGTAAAGAGGAAAAAAAAAAAACTAATACTGGAACATTTATATTACATATGTATAGATTATACTGAATAAAATTCCAATTTAAAGAAATTGCCACAAACAATTAACAAGTGGCATAAGGATAATATATCAATGCAGTTATCCAAATATTGTAAAAGGAAAACTATTCCCAATCATGCACATTTCATATATTGGCTCACGATTATGTTTCTCATAACTGAAGTCACATATCACTATTGGAATCAGAAGAACCGATTAATGCATAATGCAGAATAGCATAATCATATAAATCACCCATTCGCAGAATTGCAAATAAAACAGAACTTTTTAAAAGTTGAAACTAAACACACAATTTTTATTATGTTTTGCAAATTTAACTAGCCCACAATCTCTATCACATAAATCCTACGTGTTGGCGAGGCTTTCTGGTTTTAATAGTAAAATATGACACATTAAGTCACCCATATCAGAAGCATACACAGTCATGCTCACTTTTCTGATTATAAGAACATGAAAACTTCCAAACCATTCATAGAAAAATTCCAAGCCTAACTCAAGAAATAGAGATTACTTAGCTGTAAACTTGACAATTCAATATAACCTTAGTTGTCGAAAGTCAAACATGACCTTTAATTTCTAAATTACAAGTCGGCATGAATTAGTGATAAAATTAATACCCTTAAATATTTTTCTTTAATTTTGACTTATCAGAGAGGTTAGCACGACTGCAACGTACGTGTGGTCTGGCTGACTAAATGAGTTGTACTTTCTTTTAAAACAGAAAAGCCATATGTGCCAATCAGGTCAAACACAAAAAAAATTTAAGTGTCACCATTTGGAGGCTAAATAAATTTGCAACACAATAAATGTCGTAACTTTATTTGCAACAATCAAAAACAATAAATGGCGTAACTTTATTTGCAACTATCAAAAGGTTTTGTTTTATTCGCAATTCTATAAGAGATTGTGATGTTAAATGCAATTTGGCCAATATATTTAGAGTCATTGTAATAAAATTACTCATACTGGAAATACATTTATGTGTATAAATAGAGAGAAAAAAGAAAACTATGCAGTATACTTCTATTCGTTATACTGCTATCAGTAGTCAGCCACATTATTTTTGAGAAATTTGATTGTTAGCCATTGAAAATACATAACTATTGATAATTATGCTACACACATACTTCATTTGAAATGAGAAAGGAAAATATTTAATAAATGGATCTTGTTCGCATGTCTTGATGGAAATGTGAGAAATGAATATGGGTCAAAGGGAGAACACTAAAAGAATTATTTCAAAAAGTAAGCCATATAGAAAAAAATAAGCCAATTAAGCAAAACCCTATACTAGAGGATTTCGGACGGTCTTATGAAGTACCTTAAAAACAGGTGGCTCCACATCTTCAATCTTTATACACTGTGTATTTTGATCCTTCATTGGACCATATAATTGAGCTCTAAATACTGGCGAACGAGCAGCAAGAACCAACTTGTGAGCAGAAAACATTTCTCCATCAACTTCAAAATTTACATCAGTGCCTTTTCCACTTTCCAGCAGTTGCCCAAAATGCTGACTAATATCTGAAGGAGGCACTGGTATTGAGTAGGTCTTAGGTCCCTCTGTGTGAGACCTAACTACACCAACACAGCAACGAACTTGAAGGCAATCATCTTTGAGGTAGTCAGATGTTTCCAGGGCAGATCTTTTGAAGAAACGCTTGTAACCCCTGCAATCAAATTAAACTTGATGTTATCTCCCTTCAAAACCTTTCACAACCTGACAACCTGCATTCCATTTCTCCTTCGCATAAATCATATGGCAGTAAGAACTTTCATATTTTTGGGTATTCTCTACATAGAGACCCTCAACTACCATTCAAGTAACTCAATCAAGAGAGAATTGCCCAATACCATAGTCAACATTACATTACTACTCGTTTACGCTTGGTAGAAAAGATCATTCAACATTAACTCCACACCAAGGAAATTCTAGCATATATCAAACAAAAACTAAATTAATCAACAATTTATCAAACTCAATCTACAATCAGTGGAGTACAGTCACAATACAAGCCATTCTCAATTTTTTTTTAAAAAAAAATGCAACTAGACAGCATCCTTAACCAAATGACGAGCTGAACATGGTTCAAGCTATTAAAGAAATAAATAACGAACATAATTTTCTTATAAATGCAACCTAACATAGGGAGGGTGAAAATGCCACAAATATTTGAATACAACAACAACAACAACAACATACCCAGTATATTCCCAACACAACAGGTTGGGGTCTGGGGGGTCAGTTGTACGCAGACCTTACCCTTGTAATTATACAAGGAGGCTGTTTCCGTAGCGACCCAAGGTGCATGCCACAAATATTTGAATGAACAATATAAAATCCCTAAATGCAATAACATATTCTGGGTTTCACACCAATCATATGGGTCTTGATAAATCCTTAAAGCCTCAAATCCACAAAACCAAAATATAAAATAAGCTGCTAACAACTAAAATTGTAATATAACAAGAAGGCAGAAATGCAGGCAAGACAATTCAATCAAGCACTGAATGAGTAAGGAAAAGGGAATGTGCACAGCGTCGAAAAACAGACAGCAATCTTACTCAGACAGCTACCATCTGTTGTCCAACTAGACCATCTCATCTTGCTTGCATATACACCACATCAACATACTAAGAGAAAAGGATAAATGGCAAATCGACATCACAATAAGAGTTCACCCCTCATATTCCACAAACATTTCACACACCCCACAAAAACCAACCACCGACATAAAATGAAAACCCACCACATGCTGCCTCGGTATTTAAGAGTGTAGGGCCCGCTCTCCAATGCTCTACCGAAATGGCTATGAACCTTGTGCCTCTCCCTTCCACTTTGATCCAACAGGGTAAGCTCAAACAGCGCCCTAACATCCGTGCCCTCGCTAGCTAAAGCAATGAAAAGCGAAACATACGTAGCATTATCCTCCACGCTCTTCCCATCGGGGTAGAAATAAATCGCCCACGTGTACCCACCAACCATGAATGTATCAGAAGCCATATACTTCCCGATACCAATTCCCTTAGCCAAAGAATACCCCGTTATCTTGAACTCGTGGGAGCCATTGACAGTTTCCGTTACCGACGTTGAGGTCGTCACGGCTGGCGAGGACGGCGACGCAGAGGAAGAAGAGGGCCTCGCCGTCTCCTGGTAAACCCTACCCATCCCCACCATTAGCGGCGTACGCGGCCTCGACTGAATGCCTGCAAATCTGAAAAAATCAATTGGAAAAATCGAAATTTGGTAAACAGAACGTGCAATTTGGGGAAATCGAGGTCAGATCTAGCGAAATCAGGGTAGTAACGGGACCGGCGGAAAAGCAAGGGTAATGGATTAGGGTTTATGATCGGAGGCGATGGTGAGGAAATCTCGCGTTCTTTTCCCTTAGAATCGGAAAATCGACGAGATGAGCTCCTGGAAATTTAGGAGGCTTGGTCGATGGTATCTTTATTGATAGAGAGAGGATGAAATTTGCAGATGATTTAGGAACACGCGTTCTTAATTTATTTATTGTAGGGGCGCAGGGCGCAGCATATAATTGCTCTGAGAAATGTTTCCCTGCGAGCACGGTTCGTGAACCGAGGTCTTGACCGGCGCTGTGATTGGCCTGATTAATCATCACCCTAGAAAAAACTAGTTTATGACTTTTCAATCTACCAAACATATTGTAGTACAATCTACCACAATATATTGATTGACCAGCCGGTAAACGAGACGAGTTGAGTTAGAGTTCAAGATTCTCGTAGTCAAATTTGAGTTCAAAGTGCTCGAGCTTGAGTCCTTAACGAGCAAAGCCCTATGCGACTCGTTAAGTAAACGAACCAAAAAATGAGCTCTAGTTCAAGTTGTTTATCAATATTAACGAGTCAATACGAGTTTCACGAGCTGAACTATATAGACTAATATTAAAGTTCTCATTCCGAGTTCTATCGAGTTAGCCGAACTCGACTCGTTAACGAAACAAGCTTTAAGCGAACTCGAGCTCGATATGTTCACCAAACGAGCTGAACTGGAACCTTAACGAGTCGAGCCGAGTGGAGTCGAACTCATGAGCAGCTCATTTTGTTTAACATCTCTAGCATAGATTTCACGATTTTGCTATGAAGCCAACAGTTGGCTCCATATACAACAAATAAACCTACCATCTTCTCTGATTACTTAAATAACACTAATATAATTTTATTAATATGGTACATATATTTGTTGTATATAGAAGGTTGGCTACACTATGGAGCCAACTGTTGACTTCATAGCAAAACTGTAGATTTCAATGATTTAGGCTAAAATAAACGAATTGAACTTTATTTAAAGGTTTGACCGTCAAATCTATTAATTAACTTGTTCTATAGAAGTATATATATTGAAAGATTAAATAGAACATAACTATATAAGTGGTGAAATACTGAAATGAGTTAAACTACTTTACCCAATTAGTTTACCAACATGTTTACCAAATTATGTGCTTGCAAATTCAGGACTGTTGATTTTGCCAATTCATTAGAAGTAATTGATATTTGTCATGTATTTTTCTGGGCAGCTCAATCTGTAAATCAATTTGGCAGTATAGCATGACTCACTGTGAAATAGTTCTAAATTCATCAATGTAAATCTAACCACGAGCAGAATTCAAAATCTCGAGCANAATCAAGACAAAGGACGAAAAAAAAGAAAAAAAAATTGGGGCAAAAACTACAGTTTACGATGATTAATCCATCACAGGGCAAAGCAAAATTAGTAAAAGAAAAATAGTGCAACACAAGATTAATTATTGAAAATGTTTTTCCAACAATACAGGATAACCTTATAGACAAACGAGAGTTCACCGTGCTCAACATATTTCCCGGCAGTGACATTAGAACAAACAAGACAAAATGACCTTGTGTCCGAAGAAAAATAAATTCCTCATTCTCACCCTCTTTCCAAAGGCACTATTAATTGCCCGAAAATATTTATTCAACTAATGACTTTGGAAACAACTCCAGCACCAACAGTTCGACCACCCTCCCTCAGGGCAAATCTTTGTCCTGCAAAAAACAAAAAATAATAATAATAATAAATCAGGACAAGTTTAGACATCATAAATAGTGTATGTCTAAAATTGGGAATTTTTTATGATATTGAACAAAATAGAATTGCCCGTTTCGTTTAAAAAAAAAAAAAATTGGATTGACGAAAAGAGAAAAAAACACATCCCAGCAGATTTAAAATAAAAAAATAAAATAAAATAAAAAGCTATAATGCACCTGCTTCGAGAGGAACAGGATAGATAAGATCGAAAACTGCAGTTACATTGTCCCCGGGCATAACCATCTTCACGTTTTCAGGCAACTCGACTTTACCAGTGACATCAGCAGTCCTCATGTAAAATTGAGGTCTATAATTTGAGAAGAAGGCCGTGTGGCGACCACCTTCCTCTTTTGTGAGGACATATATCTCAGCCTCGAATTTTGTGTATGTTTTAAGAGTACCAGTTTTTGCAATTACCTACACGGAAAAGAGGCATGCATGTTAAATAAATAAACAAATAAAAAAATGGATTTTGGGCCTTAGTACAAGTGGTATTTCGTATTCACTAGTTTGCTCACTCGTGGGCTACTGAAAGAGGCCCAACAAATCCTAGTTAACGAAAGTCATACAAATAACAGAATGTAAATTTCTGTTCAGTGAGACTAACCATTCCTCGTTGGATCTCATCACGTTTCAAGCCTCGTAGAAGAAGACCCACATTGTCCCCAGCCTAGCAACCAATCATTTTTTCGAACACGACAATTTATAATACATTGTCAAGGCTGGTGACTGATGAGGAAAAAAAAAACCCTTACCTGGCCAAAATCCAAAGTTTTCTTGAACATCTCAACACCAGTTACTGTGGTTTTAAGTTTGTTCTGTAGAAAAAGGAGATGTCCCAAGCATAAGGAATCCAATGTGGTATGGTTATAGAAAAGGGAAATTTTAAGCTACATTACTGCATATAAAAATTTAGATTCCCATCATAAGGCAGACTAGGGAATTACGAATGAACAAACAATGTCTCAAAAATAGTGAACTCAAACAACAGAAACTAGAATCCACCCATTGCAAGGTCCAATTATTATTAACCACTGACATATACTCACCGGTGACAGTCCCAAAATTTCAACTTCTTCCCCTGGTTTGATTATGCCCTGCTCCACGCGACCCGTTGCAACCGTTCCACGTCCCTGCAAAATGGCAATATTATAAATATCACACTCACAAAGAGTTAAAAAGCAATATTAGTACATATCACAGCACCATTCGACAGAATAAATTATTCTCTTACCACAACGTCGTAGAAATCAATGTAAATAAATCAACCAAACATCAGTACACTACCTTACTTATCAAAG